AATCTCAATTAGTCACCAAGTACCTAAACAAAGTTCATATAGTCTATTCAATAAAGATGATCGCCAGACATGATAAGAATGTGTTCGACATTTTTATTTTCACTATCCTGCACATATGTTCGGAATCATCATTAGCCATATTCCTTTTGAACGAGGCAGGAGTTTTCTTGCCTGCATTACCACAAATGAGTAAGGCGTGATAGAGAATAGATAATTTTTCTAGTTGAGATCAAGACATGCTACAGCCAGAGCTTGGTATAATTTGCCGGATGAGAGGTGGATGGAGAGGAAAAAATGGGCACTGATATCATTTAAAAAACATTAGGAGTAATTTTTTATTACTTTGACATTTAAAGCGTTCAGCACCACTTACAATTACAAAAACCACCCGGTGGGCAAAAAATAGAAACGCATTTCGCAATTTGTGATCGTGTCTTCGTGCTTGACTTGAAATATATTTGTTCTCATTTTTTTATTTTTTTTATCTGGATAAGAACATTTTATGGCTTAAAGAACGTTAGTTTTTTTAAAAAGTTATCAAATCCTAATAACATTTAGTAAAATTATTTAAAACATATGTTTGCATTCAATGGTTACTCATTTAAACAAACAAGTTGTTCTCGGTCGAATAAAAAATGTATAACTTTTTTCAAAAAAAATAAATTAATTTTATCACACATTATTACAAAAAATTATAATAATTATTGTTCCTATTTAACCTAAATAAATGCTCCCATCTCAATCAAAACTAAAAGATGTTTTAAGAAATAAGAAAAAGAGAAGGAAAAGAACAAGAAAAAGGCTGAGACACAGTGCCATCAAGTGTGCACAATTCCTGCTCGGCTAATATGGCTTGGCTTGTAGTTAGAAAAATGGCTTATGAACAGTAGTTAGAAACCCACTCTTTTATATGTAGTTAGATAGAAAATTTATCTTTTACTTATCGATATATATTTTAGTTATAAGTTTTTTGAACTTATAAGTGATTTTTCTACCCATATAAGCATTTTACAACTTATTTTAATTTTACTCATTGTACTCATAAATGAATTTTTTACTCAAGTTAAATTTTGTTACTTATAGTTAATTTTTTTACTTGTACATTTTTTCACTTACTCATTTGAATTTTTCACTTAGAATTGATTTTTGCTTATAAGTCAAATTCTCGAATCTTATTTACGGTAAGTAAATAAATGTAATAATATAACGAATCTGTTCTTAATTAGGCTGTGTCTGGGATTGATTAAATTCCCATGAAAATCCATTTGAGGACCGTTGAAGCCAACCAACGGTAACATTTCTAGGATTGCGACTGCTGAAGTTGTGAGAAACGGTCAATTTTAACGGCACAAAAATCGATTCTCTTGGGGAGGAAAATGGGCACCAGACAGCCCCTTAATAAATTGCTGAATATATGATACATCATAAACCCAAACATAAGCCTAATCATAAATACTCATTTAGGGATGACAAAAAAGCTCGGCGGCTCAGACGGCTCAGGCTCGGCTCGGAAAAAGCTTGAGCCGGGCCCAGCTCGGGCTCGGTTCCACCGAGCCAAGGCTATGGCCGAGCCTCATTTTGAGGAGTCGGGCCGGCCCCAAAAAAAAACCCACAAAAGTTTGTCAACTTATTCTTCTCATCATGAAACCAATAAACTAATTATAAGTGACAAATTTATCTCAGAATTTATCACATAGATTATTTTGGAAAATGAGTGATCGAGCTCAAGCCGGGCCGAGCCTCATTTTGAGGAGTCAGGCTGGCCAGGAAAAAAAATTGCCAACTTATTCTTCTCATCATGAAACCAATAAACTAGTTATAAGTGACAAATTTATCTCATAATTTATCACATAGATTATTTTGGAAAATGAGTGATATTTGTTTGTTTAATATTTATTGCATTATTAGTTTATTACTGTTTCATTTCTCTAAAACTCTAAGTGCCTAAATATTTAAAGTAAGCATTTTCTCATTTTCACAAACGTTTATTATTCTATATTAAGTGAAATTATTGGTGATATATATTGCTTGATTATATTTAAAAATTGAGCTAAATTCACCAATGACCACTAAAATTTGTAAGAAAATTTAAATCGATCATTAAAAAGATTTCTTACTTTGTTATAATGGATAGTTACTCATTTATAAATCTAAAATGTTATCCGACATTAGGCTATAAGGTGCCACAAAAAAAAAAAATCCGAGTCGGCTCGGCACGCTAAGGCTCGGATCGAAAACTCGAGCTGAGCCTCATTTTTTTTTGGTTGGGCTCGGCTCGGCTCGGGCCCAAAAAAATCGGTCCAAAAAAGCTTGGACTCGACTCGACTCGACTCATCCTTTGATTTGCTCTGCATCTACGTCTCTCTCATCATCTCTACTCTTTGTTTCGGAGACGTAGCAATACTGAATCTGCCAGGGCCGGGCCTGAGGAGGAGCCTCCTCCTCAGGCCCAAATTTGTTAGGGGCCCATTTTTTTAGTGGGCTTTTTTTTTCTTTTCCTTTTTTTAACCTAAGTCTTCAGCCAAGGCCGTTCATTACCTCCAAGCTCCACTCCAGCAAGAGAGAGAGAGAGAGAGAGACGTGACTCCGTGAGGCCGTGTCGTCGTGGGGCTTGCCGCTCGTGAATCCGTGATTATTGTGTAAGTATTTTGCCTCTTATTTATAAGCTTTTGTGGGTTTTGACTTTTGAGAAATGGGGAAATGTGATTCCGTGAAGATTGAAATGAGGTTCAATACTCTGCATATATTTCCGTAAGTTAAGATGAAATTGGAATTGGTTTTTGTTGATGCATATGGTTTTAGATTGGCTGATCAAATCCAACGGTTTCTGGGCATTTTTCGATGAAATCTTTCAGAGAAAAATGTTATTTACTGTTCGTTTTCTTTCCACAGTTTTTTGATGCTCTGTTTCTGATGTTTTTGTTATCAATGTGTTGTGGTTATGTGTATGTTTTGTTGGGATCTTAATTCTTAATTATAAGGAAAAGGAAGCGTTCATTGAGTTTTAGAATCTATAATTTAGGTTGAGGAATTTGACACGTTATATAGTAGGACAGACTGGTTTTGCACTTCAGCTATAGACGAAGATGATATGCTTTCTGAATATGCCCATGATCTTTTCAGTGCTTCTTTTTGATCCATAGATATAAAGTAATGGTTTTAATAAAAACTTGTCTTCAAAGCAAATATGTTCCTTGAGGTTTTCCAATAAGTCTTTAGACACACGAAAGCAATTGCTCTCTTTGAGTTGTGGGTGAGGAGCAGGGGACAGTGGATACCCGTTATTCACAAGATTGATGCAGTCATGTAGAAATTATTAGAAATTCTCTTCTATCAACTTCAATTTCCTGCTTAGAACCTTCCCTGCTTAAAACCCATGAACTTTAAATCTTCTCTGCTTCAAAACCAGACCTCCTGCCTGCGGCCACTGATTTCCGTATAAGAGGGAGATTTCGAAGAAGAACTTCGCCAACCATTCACCGGAATTAAGGTAATCGATTTTGCTGTTATTTTGAAACCTATTTCTGTTTATTTTTCTTTGTGGGAAGGTTTCAATAGCAGCAAATGTGGCGTTGCCGTTTTTGTAGAAATGAGTTCTCATCAAATATTGGGTTCGCAGAATTTTCAGATAATGTATGAAGTTTTAATTGAATAGAATTTCGACGAAGCTTCTTAATTGTCACTTATAGGATGCGTTGAAGATTAGATGAGGTTATTTTTCTATTTTGTTTATTGTTTGGTTGTGTATTTAATTTGAAGTTTATGAGATGCGGAGAGATGTTAGTAGGATGTAAAGTTTGTTTTGAAATATGGGTTTGAGGATTCAGTTCAATTAGGTCCCCAACAGCTCAAATACATAACTGTTCTCAAGGTTTTATTTTTATTTTTTCCCCATTGTAGACTGGTACCAATATGGAGTTATATATTCTTTTGATTATGAATATTGAATAAATCTGACATTAAAAAGTCTGTGGGGGTGGGGATATGAAACAGAAAATTAAACCCACCCTGATGCATGAAATCCACTTATCATGGCCAGTTCAACAGACTTATTGGGGGACAAAATTCTTGGCTCTTCCTTGCTCGAAATTTTTGGATTTTTCTTGCGCCATTTGGAATCTATGTGCTTTTCTGAGATCCTTTGCATCAGTTCTCTGAAGTTTGCAGCATCAGTCTTGATGATCTCTGGTGCAAGTACATGAAGATGACATGCTTTCTGAATATGCCCATGATCTCTGGTGCAAGTACTTGAGGAATTTGACACATTATATAGTAGGACAGACTGGTTTTGCACTTCAGCTATAGACGAAGATGATACACTTTCTGAATATGCCCATGATCTTTTCAGTGCTTCTTTTTGATCCATAGATATAAAGTAATGGTTTTAATAAAAACTTGTCTTCAAAGCAAATATGTTCTTTGAGGTTTTTCAATAAGTCTTTAGACACACAAAAGCCATTGCTCTCTTTGAGTTGTGGGTGAGGAGCAGGGGACAGTGGATACCCGTTATCCACAAGATTGATGCAGTCATGTAGAAATTATTAGAAATTCTCTTCTATAAACTTCAATTTCCTAGTAGATATTTTAGTTCCTTTGGTTCTTTCTTAAATACCGACCTTCGTCTGATGTTGTTTAACACATTTTGCATACGTGGGCATGTCAAGATATCAGCAAATGCAATTTAAGCATTCGAAGTTAGCAAAAGAAAATTGAGAGCAAGTCACGGATGCATATATAAAGCCATTTCAAACCACGTGAGAGAGTGGAGTGTAAATTTTATATTTCATATTTGAACTTCTTGTTGGGCTGAGGAGCAACTTTTTATTGATTTCGTACCAAGAGGGGGTGTGGTAGATGGGGGGAGCATGGTTTAAACAGGCGGTAGTGCGGCCCGCCTCCCTGTGAGGCTTATGTAGTATGCCTTGAGGCGGTATTTTTGAGGCTAAAAATATGAGGATCACGCCTTTAAACATGAGGCACACGTCTCAAGGTGAGTGCCTCATTTAAAATTTGATTTTTCAATTGTATGAAAAGAAATTAGAAAATGCCCTTTTAAAAAAAGAAAAGGGCTCATTTAAAAAGGTGTTTTGGGCCTAAACAAAACAATAAAATACCTAAAAAACTAAACGGTAGCCAGAAATTAGAGGACCAAAAAGGGAACAGATTCAACAGAAATTCAAAAGTCAGAATTCAAAAAAAGCATCGTCTTCTTCTTCAGTTCATCATTTATGTTTTTCTTCTTTTCTTTTTCTTCTTTTTCTTAGGGTTCAGTAAATCTTGCATGTAATTAGTTGTTTCATATACTCATCTGAAAATTATAAATTTTATAAATGTTTTTATTTATATAATTAACACACACAATTTCATCCAATCACTTGTACAAACTCTAAAACTCATGTATCCATACTTCTTAATCTGCAACATCTCTTCAATATCCCCACATCATTGTCAAATCTTCATGCAACAATACACAATACCCAGATTTATGCTGATCCACCATAGCCAGCTTTCTTCCAGTTTTTTTTGTATTTTTGTATTATTTTATAATTCTTTTACTTCGATTTTTTGTTTTTTGTGAGACTTACGCCTCAATCCGCCTCGAGGCTTACGCCTCGCCTCATAAAGAAAAACCGCATCAGTACTTAGTTTCGCCTTTTTAAACTTTGGGGGGGGAGTATCTCTTTTCTCTGATTTCTGATTAATTAATAGCTTGCGTCTGACGATTATCATTATGAGCATAATCTTTTGGTGTGTGTCTTATGAATGCAGAAGATTGTTCTGTTTTATTTTAATTGCCACATTAATATGGAAACATCTTTAGAATTCTAAAGAACAATAGTGAACAGTTTCGTTAAGCTCAGCTGTATTTTTAAGCCTTTTAACTTTTGACTTTGATTCGCTAATCTGTAGTTCTATGCTAGTAATTCTCAAACTTTCATGGATTTGAATTTTCTGTTTGCTGAAATGGAAACACGCACACCAATACATATACATGTAGTTAATGGGTATGTGTATGAAGACTTTCAGAATATTAGACTTGTATATATGCTTGTTTTAGTTATAACAAGATAATTAAGGTGGATGTACAAAAACAACCAATGAATGCACTGTTTTAAAATGCTTCTATATATTTGTCAATCTTGAGTTTTTAATAGGGAACTAATCTTCATGTAGCATAGCTCTCTTTCATCTTATTCATTTCTCGGTTTGAGCTTGATATTGATAATATAAGATGTCAATGGTACGACAATGTAGCTAACATAAGCGGGAGACATAGAGGTGTACAAAAAATGTTACTTGAAATAAATCCTAGAGCTTTCTATACTCCTTAAGTGATCGGTTAGAACATCTTCGTATTATTATTTGATTGCAAAATAAATATGTTGAATATTTTATTTTTATTTGTTGCTTTATTGTTGAATTTAATTTAACAAATTTAGTTCCGTAAGACTCTCTTAAATGAAAAATGGGTTTTCTGCTATGACTTAGGATCCCAAATTTTGAAGTTCACCTCAGGCCCCGCGAAACAAAAGTACGACACTGGTATCTGCTCATCCACTGTTTCAAGGTAGCTGTAAGCTTTATCTCTGAGTTGGATTTATGGTATGGTTATTTAGATGTTTTTTTTTCTTGTAATTTTTAGCCAAATTGGTCTTTTTTCTGTTGGATATTGATTTTCTGTTTAAATATGTATAACTTTTTACTCAGTTCTTAATAATTTTTACTCAATTACCTGTTTAATTATGTAAAATGAGGGGAATTTGGGGCTAAAAGTTCTGTTTTATTTTATGTCTTTTTATATTATTTGGAATTTAATATGAAATTGGAATTGGTTATTTGTTGATGCATATGGTTTTAGATTGGCTGATCAAATCCAACGGTTTCTGGGCATTTTTCGATGAAATCTTTCAGAGAAAAATGTTATTTATTGTTCGTTTTCTTTCCACAGTTTTGTGATGCTCTGTTTCTGATGTTTTTGTTATCAATGTGTTGTGGTTATGTGTATGTTTTGTTGGGATCTTAATTCTGAACTATAAGGAAAAGGAAGCCTTCATTGAGTTTTAGAATCTATAATTTAGGTTGAGGAATTTGACACATTATATAGTAGGACAGACTGGTTTTGCACTTCAGCTATAGACGAAGATGATATGCTTTCTGAATATGCCCACGATCTTTTCAGTGCTTCTTTTTGATCCATAGATATAAAGTAATGCTTTTAATAAAAACTTTTCTTTAAAGCAAATATGTTCTTTGAGGTTTTTCAATAAGTCTTTAGACACACAAAAGCAATTGCTCTCTTTGAGTTGTGGGTGAGTAGTAGGGGACGGTGGATATCCGTTATCCACAAGATTGATGCAGTCATGTAGAAATTATTAGAAATTCTCTTCTATCAACTTCAATTTCCTAGTAGATATTTTAGTTCCTCTGGTTCTTTCTTAAGTACCGACCTTCGTCTCATGTTGTTTAACACATTTTGCATACATAGGCATGTCAGGATATCAGCAATTGGAATTTAAACATTCGAAGTTAGCAAAAGAAAATTGAGAGCAAGTCACGGATGCATATATAAAGCCATTTCAAACCACGTGAGAGAAAATGGAGCATAGATTTTATATTTCATATTTGAACTTGTTGGGCCGAGGAGCAACTTTTTATTGACTTCGTACCAAGAGGGGATGTGGTAGATGGGGGGAGCATCCCTTTTCTCTGATTTCTGACTAATTAATAGTTCGCGTCTGACGATGTATTTAAGATCATAATCTTTTGTGTGTGTCTTATGAATGCAGAAGATTGTTCTGTTTTATTTTGATTGCCACATTAATATGGAAACATCTTTAGAATTCTAGAGAACAACGGTCAACAGTTCTATTAAGCTCAACTGTATTTTTAAGCCTTTTAACTTTGACTTTGATTCACTAATTTATAGTTCTATACTAGTAATTCTCAAACTTTCATGGATATGTATTTTCTATTGTCTGAAATGGAAACACGCACACCAATACATATACATGTAGTTAATGAGTATGCATATGAGGACTTTCAGAATATTAGACTTGTATATATGCATGTTTTAGTTGTAACAAGATAATTAACGTGGATGTACAAAAACAACCAGTGAATGCACCGTTTTAAAATGCTTCTATATATTTGTCAATCTTAAGTTTTTAATAGGGAACTAATCTTCATGTAGCATAGCTCTCTTTCAGCTTATTCATTTCTCGGTTTGAGCTTGATATTGATAATATAAGAGGTCAAGGGTATGACAATGGAGCTAACATGAGCGGGAGACATAGAGGTGTACAAAAAGATTACTTGAAATTAATCTTAGAGCTTTCGATGCTCCATGTGGTTGTCATAGCCTTAATCTAGCAATATGTGATATGGCAAGTTGTTGTTCTAAAGCTATGTCTTTCTTTGGAGTGATACAATGTATCTACACATTGTTATCTTCTTCTCTCAAACGATGGAAAATTTTTAAAGATAAGGTTGAAGGTCTTACACTAAAGCCATTGTCACAAACACGTTGGGAAAGTCATGTGGAAAATGTTAAGCCGATAAAGAAGCAATGTGTACGAATAAGAGACACTTTACTTGACTTGGCAAACATTACTGAAGATGCTAAAACGAAGAGTGAAGCGGAATCCTTAGCAACATATGAACTTGAGAATTTTGAGTTCTTGCTTGGCATGGTCATTTGGTATAAGTTGTTGTATGCTGTCAA